TGAACAGACCACTAAAAGACTGTAATAATCATTCTGATAGCAAACATATTATCTAGTTATACATATGTTTGGTATTAAAAATGATGTTAAAATATCATTTTAGTATTAAATAAAGCCCTTAACTCAACTCAAACGTAGAAAATAAGAGTTTACACATTTCCGACAGCATAATTAGACAAGTAATTTAAAAATCATTTTAATTATGCAATTTGCTATTTACTTTTTGCAAGTAAATTACCCAAAACTGCACCAGAGTTTGTTTAATCAAACCAAACACACCATATCCGCTTGTTAAGTGTGACGTCACGCGAAGCGGCTTCCGGGTCCAAGCGCTCTATTCAACTGAATGGGGAGACTCATGAAATGGTAATAATAAACGGTTACAAAGCGATTTAATGCTTTCGAAAATCACGATGGCAGTATATATGACCATGCCTAATATCCGATGGTCAGAAAGTGATGAATTTTTTATAAATTGTTACATTTTTGGTATTTGTTATGAAGCAAGCCCAGAGATTGTTGTGTACACTATGACTTCATGTAAAATTAACTTTAATGTGTGATATGAATAAAAAGTGATCATAAACAAATAGGGATGTAACGGTATCAGAATTTCACGGTACGGTAATACCTCGGTATGAATGTCACGGTACGGTATTTATTGAATCATTTACAGGAAAAAACAAAACTTATGAAAATACTCCAAAAAAGTGCCAAAAGTGTCAATGACATACAATAAAAAATATTAAACCATGTAAAAAAAAATAAAGTTTCAATTTAGTATTGTTGAAAACTCATCACATTCAACATTTAATCACGCACTCACTTAGATAGAGATGGGTTTTAAGGAAAATTATCATATAACTATAATCTGGTAAAAGCTGGTATCTCTGGGTATTTACAATGTCCCCTGCAACAGAAAAACCCCTCTCATTTGGGACTGAGGTTTCTGGGACAGAGAGATATGACTTGGCCCAGGTTGACAGCAGTGGGTAACGTTGTGCATTGTCTCTCCCCCACTTGAGAGGACAAGCCATGAGTGAGATAGAGGTCTCATGTCTGCATCAATCTGAACAGTGTGCTGTGTTTCTGCAGTCCCCATGACTGTTATTAGTCCTATTCCCCAACTTGCAGGCACGTGCACACATAGGGCTCAACCTGTGCAGTGCACATGCCCTTTTTAGTCTTGGATAGAAAGTGCCCTTCTAAAATGATCAAAAGTGCCGCCGCGACGTGACACACCCTGCTTCCCGCCCTTCAGTAGGCGCGCGACAACACCGCTCTTGAGTATGCGCGCTCAACCCCCCCTCCCCGCTTTACAGTACGCGCGCAACAACACAGCTGATCAGAACGCGCGCGACAACACCGCTATTCAGTACGCGCGCGGCGACAACACCCGCTTTAGGTTCGATCATTTCCAGCTCTTTTTTATCCCAGCTTCTAGCAGCACACTCCATTTCCGCATTACTGGATCTGTAGCGACAAGGTGATGGCCACCCCTGGGCTGATGGGAATTGTAGTTTTTGCTACCTCCCGTTCGCTTCATTCGCCTGAGCAAATTTTCTTAGAAGACCTATAGTTTTACCGAGTCATGCGACTACGGTAATATCGAAAAAAATTAATATTGCGGTATGACGGTATTTACAATACCGTTACATCCCTATAAACAAATGATTTCTTCACTCAAATGAATGGCGGCTAGGACCCGAAACAGTATTACATACGTCACAAACACGTCACAACTTAACAAGCGGATATTAAGCTGAACGATCTCACCTTTGCTCTAAGCATTAAGATACCAGTTTTTGAATCAATCTGTATATAAAACACTCACCGATCCTCTGCCATTTTGCCACCCAGCTGTCTTCTGGACTCATCATAGCAATAACACTGCAAAAAAGACGTGACACATTCACGATCAAATTAAATCCAACCTATTTTTAGGCATGTATTTGTGTGTGCGTTTTAAATGAACAGTATGCCCAAAGAGGAAATCCAAAACACTTCAAAACAGACTCCTTTTGTAATGTAGTTGCTCATTTAGTAAATAATCCATTCAAACATCCACAAAAGGCAGTCTTTTCTCTGCCAACTGACCTCAGTCTTATAAACATTATGGGATATTATATTATTGAAGAGGACCAGCATAAACTAGATTTCAACTTTGGCATTTCAAATCATCAAATTAGTTTGAAGACAATATTGTTTCATTTAAAGAAGACTAACGTTGTATATTCTTTCTAACACTGTATTTTTTAGCCTTGGGAAAAAAACAAGTAGGTCGCACAGGTTTAGAGCTGCATGAGGTTAAAGTCTAGAAGGGATACAGCTGTGGATATACACATCAATATAGCTTAATTTTACACTGTACAACAATAATTGATATTCTTTCATTACTGTGAGGGTTGTGTTTAAGGTTGGGGTAGAGGTAGATGTTAATAAAATAAAACTTAATGGTTTATTTAATAAATATTATGAATAATACTATGTATAATTACTGTTTATTCATTACTGTGGGATTGTGTTTGGGGTAGACGTTAACAAAATACAATTTAATGGGTTATTTAATCAATAATATTGATAATACTGATATAATAACTGTTTTTACATTACTGTGGGGGGTTGGGATTAGGGTATATGTTAATAAAATACAATTTAATTGGTAATTTACTTAATAATATGAATAAAAATTGTATATAATTAATGTTTTTACATTACTGTGAGGGTTGGAGTATGGTTAGAGGTAAAATACAGTTAATGAGTAATTTAATACATTATTCTTGTTAACTTTCAGCCATAGCTGTATCCCTTCTAGCAACAACACTTCATGAGAGAGAGTAAATAATGACCATGTTTGTTTTTGAGGTGAACTGTAAGAAGTATCATTACCCACCCATCAAAAGAAGAGCTTGTACATTCATAAACCATCTCTCGGTTGCCTTTCATCTGCAGGTATGATTCACAGTTGTCACATCCATCATATTCAAACTGATCAATCGT